TCCTTCTAACTCTGTGGTCCAATTGATTACAATACCTGTTCAAAATACATGAAAAATTGACCCTACATTATATGTAAGTGGTAATGGACTGTGAAGGACAACAGTGAAGAAAACCTTCACTGTGAATGAAGCATGTAAGAGCTTTGTTTTGTGTTTATTTTTTTTCAAGACTCCACAGAAACAGCATGAGCTGAATCCCACAGCAAGGAGATGTTGCTATGCTGACCTGTACTTTCCAATCTTGTTAACAGTGAGAGCCCTGCTTTAGTACATCAGTCAAATCACAAGCAGTGGTGACACTAGACATCTCCAAAACCATAGTTAAAATTCTATCACAGCTTAAAATAATGCTAACCTCTGCCAACAGAGAAATAAAGTGTCACACCAAGAGAGGCCAATGCTTCTGTACAGTAAATGTTGAATGATACACTTGAATGCCCATTCCCACAACAGATATTTTTTTCCTGGGTGAATTAGATCTGGCATTCAGTATTCAAAAACCATACTTTAGGATGTTCCTAAATGCCCTAAGAATGAAGTTTCTTTTCATATTGTTACAGATGCATGGTTGCACAGACTTTTCCCTAAGTAAGAAATCAGTTTCAGTAAGTCCCAAGTGTTCTCTTTCCCACTCTCCCACATCTGGCCATTTGTTTTTGCCTCTCCACCACCCCCTGCATTTTTGCAGGCTTTTAAAACCAGATCAAATCCTCAAACTGAGAGGTATTATATACCACTACTGGGGATTGAGTAGTCAAGAACAATTATAGCTGGAGTATTGCTGCCAAGTGCTTTGTATCATTAAACTGTAGTCTTGGGAAAACATTTTGAGAGCCATTGTACCCCCTCAAGAAAGTAAGCATAGTTAAGTGAAACTAAATTCAACAAATGGTTTAGAAGAGAAAGAGCAAGAAAATTTACTTAGCTACTTGTAGGAGAATGGTTTATCCAGATTTATTTTGGATAAATAGGATGAGTTTTGGATATTTGGATAAATTTGGATAAATATTTTGGTTTTGTTTGCACAGTTAAAGATGGAAAGAACAGAACAGTGCTCTTATATTTGTACTGCTGATTATAAAAAGGCAAGTGTTGAACACTAAAAATATCCAACATCTTTAATCAGGATAATTGAGGGGGAAGATGGTCTTCTATCAAATAAATACTTCAGATCAGCTATTTTTTGGTAATTTGCTGACAACTTTCAAGGTGAGGAATAACATATCTACATAAATTAGATGTCTTTATGTGGTGCATTTTCTTCTGTTCTCCTAGATGCCCTCTTCACCTTCTAAACTGCCTTTATCTTTTCTGCTTTCTTTTTCTTCATGAAGTTCAAATGCTTGCATGCTTAAATATAGAGCCTTCTTGGTATCAAGCACACTATTCTATGTATTGTTTCCTTCCTAAAGGGTCACTCCAAGGCTGCACTGCAATTTAATACTCGCATGAGAATTCAGCTTGAGTTCAGGAGTTTGTATATGCACCACATCCAGTGTCAATTGAGTTTTACCCGGCAGTTGTTTTTCAGATCTGCATTAAGTTATTCACACCAAATGCTTTTAAGTCCTTTTCCATTGTACTGAATTTAAAATAGTTAAAAGAATGCAAGATGAAAGCAGGGGAATTGTTTGTACTATTTGGAGGCTTTTTTGTTACCTAGATGAGTCAGACAATGTATTTACTTTTTTACCCAGTGTAAAAGATGCACAATACTTTAGTCCAAGGACAAGGTTCAGAAAGGATTGAAAATCTCTACCCATCCAATCTTTTACTCCTGATAGTGGAAGATTAGCAGCAGATTACTACTGACTTTATTATTACTTAGTTTGTGAACAGAAAGCACAGACTATTATAGCACAATCATTCCTCAAAATGAAAAAATATGTCTATATTGTATCCAACCTACTTCAGCTAAAAATTAACATAGGAAGGAGCCTACCCTACTTAGATATGGAATGAAGAAAATTCCAATCCGGTGTTTTGTGAACAGATAATATTTGGGCTAATTTAGCTACAGATTTCTGTAATAGGGAAAAAGCTATGAAAATTGGCTAGAATATTAGAAAACTAATTTGACTTCCTAAAAGTGAGAATTTAACTGGGAATTCCAATTCTAAATTTTATATCTACCCAGTCAAGAAACACAAAAAGCTACCACATTTGTGTGCCATTAAGAATTACTTGTAAATCAACATATAATCAACCAACCGCTAAGCAGCAAATATTCAGTGAGCAGCAAGAAAATAAAATTCAAAATACTGAAATAGATTGTGAAATTCAGCTTATAACCAAAAAATCTGAATATTTAAAGACATTCAACTAACAAAGAGAGCATTATTTTCTAGTTAGAATAAAAGAATGTGAAGGTGTTGAATTCAGTTCCCAAGATGTGGAATATTATGTGAGAGTCCAGGACTACAGTTCACAAAAAAATTGCTGCAAACTCTGCCCGTTGCACATTTCTTTCACTGAAACTTCAAATTCACAAATTTATTTCTCAGACTTTTAACTAAAGTTATCACATCAAGCATCACATTTTAAAGTACTTCTTAACATTGATGCAAGGATTCTTAAACATTAACTTGGAAGAATTAATTATCCATAACAGGCCCGTTGATTAGATGCTTTGTTAATTATGTTGCTCATTTTGTGACAGTCTCGGTTCAGCTCCTGATCACTATCTATTCTTTGGCAGATTAATAATTTCTGAATCAGAGAAGCTCTGTGAAAAGATCACAGAAAACATCTCAGCTCTACAAACACAGAACATGAGCGGTCTCAGTTAAGGTCAATAGTGAGCCCAGGAAGGAAGCTCTTATTTCAGCTCTTTGCACAATACCTACTCTGTAGGTAAACAGAGGTGTTCAGTTTAACAACACTGACAGATCTTAACCTTTCCAAGCATACATATTTATTTAATTGCTATGTTTAAATCAAAGATATATCCTATGAATAGCTTTTGCAAAGAAAGTGCATGAAGATTTCCTTTGTTTCTTATTTGAATCACTAAGATGAAAGTGAAGGCTGAGGTAGTCATTTTACTCAAAGGAAATAAAACAAAGAAACCTCTATTTCATTGATAAGAAAGCAGAGCTCTGATCTCCCATGAGCTGCTAACTTCAAAATATTCAACTGAACTACATAAAGAATAATCCCTGTAGTCACTAAGGTGTGCAATGTGGTTGGCCCTTATGTGATACATGTTCTAAGGCTGGGAAAACAATTTCTACTTACTATGACACCTCTCATATGAAATTCAGATGTTAATGAAGGCCTGTCTTTCTGCAGAGAATGATTTTTTTTCCTGTTCTTGTATCTCTTAGGCTGAATTTACTTAAATTCAATGTGCAATAATAAAGAATAACGAGAACCCTGTTTTCCCTTGTCCCTAGAATCTCAGTCATTAATAAAACACACAATAGTATATTTAGGAAAATAGTTAGCCAGCAGATTTAGAACTGCTTAAAAACAGTTCAAGTCACAGAAAGTTTAGCTTTTACCCTAATTAGTTTCTACCAGTTAGTTTCTTCCCTTAGGATTGCCTAAAATTAGGGGTCTTTTTAGGGTTTTTTAGGGTTTACTGATAAAATACATAATTATTTATCCACAGCCTACCTTCCATTATTTTTTTATTTTCCTGTTTTCTCAACATAAAACTAGAAAGGAAGTATCTGCAAGGCATTTCTGTTGATAAATGCTGCACATTTACCATGCAAAGAATGCATGTGGTAAGTGAAAATTTAACACATTTCTCATAATCATTGTTTTAATGCAAAATATTTTGCCTTCTGAGAGGAAAAGTACAATCAGGTTATGAAACACTTGGATTTTTGAACTTTAATCTATATACAGCTAGTAAATTTGATTTTGGTAAGTAAACTACATGTACTGAAATAAGTTCTTGTTTCTTCAATCGTCCTTATAATAATCTGAGTTTTTATTGAATATTTCTACATTTAATCCCACTGTAAAGCTATACATAACAGCTGCTGTATTGGACAGGTACTTCCACATTGAAGTCAGCAGGATTTTTGCCTTAAGCGGAATGTTATGCCACAAAATGTTCTCTGAGAAAGCTCAGGTTTTGTAACAATCACATGGAGCATCTAATTAACCTAATCAATCATTACTATTACAAAAAAATTTTCAATTTTAAAAGCCATGTTAATGGCTTAATCACTGAACACACCCCAGAAGATACAGCACACATATTCACTCTTAATATTCATAGTATTCTTACAAGGACCAGACCTAAGGTTAACCTTCCAGCAAAATTGGGTAGTTTTGAATTTGTCCATGTGAATAAACAAGAAAGCCCAATTGGTTTCAAGGTTTTGTTTGCAGAAACATGCTAATGTGACTTTGTATCTAGTTACGCAGATATCAACTACAGAACTGAAGCAATCTATTTTACCATTTTATTCGTTTATTTAACTTTTACATAGTTTGTCTTGCAAATATGTTTGTTATTTCCAGTTACGAGCTGCAGTCTCGAGTGCTACAGGATTCCCGTGGCTCTGGAAAGCTCCCAGAGCTTTGCATTTCACAGTCACAGAATATTCCGAGTTGGGAGGGTCCCAGAAGGATCACGGAATCCAACCCTTGAGTGAACGGCCCCTTCGGAGATCGAACCTCCGAGCCTGCTGTTATTAGCACCATGCTCCAATCATTTTTAACCTACACCACTGATCTGTGTCACAGAAATTGAGATTTTCCTAACATCTGCCCTGAAGAACATCTGCTTGGCAGATGAGGAAAACACCACAGAGTTTTTTGGGGTTTTTTCCTGAATCATTTCGGCACCACAGCCTTCAGTGCGGCACTCGGCTGTACGCGGCAGTGCTCCCTCCCTCCAGGGGGGCTCAGCGATTCCCGAAGCTGCTTCTGGACCCCGGACCGGCGAGGCCTGGGCGCGGCCGCCGCCGCTGCCCCTCACGCCGGGGCGGTGGCGGCCGCCGCGCTCCCGCCCCGACGCGTCACTGCCGGAGCGGCCCAACATGGAGCCCGGCGGCGGCGGGGACGCGCTCCCGAGGCTGCGGCGCCCGGGGCGGCGCGGGCCGGAGCCCCGGGACCCGCAGCAGCCGCAGCCGCCTGCCCGGGGCGGCGGGACGGCCGGTGGGTGGTGCCGGGACGCGGGGAGCGGTGCCGAGCCCTGCCGGGCGGGCGCTGGGACGGCAGCGGGGCCGCCTCGGGTGGAGCGGCGCGGAGCGCGGCCCCGCTGCCCTCAGGTGTCCGCTCCTGAGTGCGAGCCGGGCGTGGGGGATGCGAGGGGCTGGCAGCCGCGGACTGCCTCATCTGCTTGATGCAGATGAAATGCTCGAATGCTCCGGGCCCAAGCTCCAGTAGGATGAGGAAGAATGTAGGAAATGTAAAATAAAGCTGCCTGTAAGCTCCAGCAGAGCTGTGGGTACGCTCGGCTGGCGGCGGTGCGTGTGGAGGAATCGGCACATGTGACACTGCTGAAGGCACACGGGCCACCAGGAGCTCCTGGTGATAAACTTCAGAGTGTGAGACATCAATACCGCCTCTGACACCTTTTTTTGACAGTGTGTATAAATACTGTCTTACGTGGTTACTGTCGGCACAAAAATGGCTTTCTCATCTCCTTGCTCTCTCCAAAACAGTACATGATAATGAGAGGAAAAAGAGAAGGTAGTTTCCTGCACAATGATAGTTGCAGTTTACCTGCTGAAAGTGTGCAGTGTAAGTCCAGCTAGCTCCTGAAACTGCAGCTGAAAATTTGTGAATTCTCTGCAGTTGAAAACAAGAAAATTATGCCTGTGATCGTTTTGCAAATACTAAAATTCATAAAGAAGGGTAAAAGTAAATCAGTGATTGGAAGTAGCAACCTGAAATTCTATATGCTAAATTAATAAAAATTGTTTCATAAAACCGGGGGTTTTTCATTAGTTAAACAACCCTTACAAAATCTAGTCACCTGTTTCCTAAAAAGATACACAGATACAGTGTTGTGCTGATTGTTACTGCTATATCATTTTATCAAAGGATACCTTGCTTAAACTGTTTCATTTCAGTAAATGTTCAGAGGTCTTTAGAATATTTGTAGCACAAAGTGTATTATGATGAGTAGAATAATCTCCCGAGATAAATGAATTAAAAAGATAAAGTATCATGCTTTATGTAACTATAATCATACTTCATTTAATGACTGGCTTTAGTGCTATAATTATGTTCTTCTTTACAGAAGAGTCTACAGCTGTAGAGAAGACGATGAGGCCTCTTAACAGACTGAATATTCATTCTGCATTCTGGATTTTGGCATCAATAGCTGTGACGTACTACTTTGATTTTTTAAAAAATATCAAAGAAACTATGCAAGCAGATAGGTAAGGTATCTTTTCTTACAAAAAGGTTTGTTTTAGTCCTATAATCATACTGAGTTTGTTACATCTGGTCACTGTATTTTAAATCATGGATGAACAAGATCTGCAGTAGGAATAGAGAAACCTTGGACTGTTCAGCCTGGAGAAGAGAAGGCTCAGAGGCATTTTGTCATTGCATGTAAACACCTGAAGGGAGGGTACAAAGAAGACAGAGCCAGGCTCTTTCCAGTGGTGTCCAGGACAGGACCAGAGGCAGTGGGCACAAACTGACATGGAGGAGGTTCCCTCTGAAGATCAGGAAACACTTTTTTACTGTCAGGGTGTCTGAGCACTGAACAGGTTGCCCAGGGAGGTTGTGGAGTCTCCATCTTTGGAGATATTCAAAAGCCATTTGGACATGATTCTGGGCAACTGGCAGTAGCTGAGGTTGCTTGAGCAGGGAGGTTGGACCAATATCACCTAAGCTGATATTATTATATAATTTTAAAGTAAATACAATGCTTACAGTTTGCTACAATTGTTTTTATTCTCTGTAAACTCTACTTAGCTGTTTTTGTACATGCAAAGTTTGCTCTGATACCAGATATTCTAATACTGTACCTTCAAGCTTACATTTAAGTCCAAGAAATAGCTGCCTGGTTTGTTGGAAGTATTTAGGCTTTGATTTTATTTTTTTATAACAAACCCCCTGAAATTAATCCTTAGAGGTCAAAGAGAAGTTCATTTCTCTAGAAGATCTGTACATCATTTTGAGTAGGCCAGCAAAAGATTAGTGAAATAATTTCTGTGAGGTAATTTTTATTTCTAGTCTATTTCTTTTCTATTAAATTATTTTCAATGGGATTGATGTATGTTAAATGTTTTTAGATGGCTTCAGCTGGAAGTGCTTTTAAAACACATTGCAGTTGTCATTGTTATATCAGTATGTGGAAGCTGCCCAGGGCTCTGTGCTGGGAGGTTCTCTGGAGCTGCTCTCCCAGGCTAGTTATACCTTCATACACCTGACTGTGAAAGCAAAACCAGTGACTCCAAGGTGTAATCAAAATCTGGGGTCAGGACCCTGTCTTCCTGCACTGCTTGTAGGCCATGGCTACAGTTCTCTTGGTGCAGGATTCTCCCTTGGTAGTAAGGGGATTTCAAAGTAGCATATTATGTTTGCTGTACCATTCCAGAACACATGGTACCTGAATAGGAAGATCCTTAATTACCCTTTGTAATTTAGTAATCAAGTTATTGTAAGAATTCATTTTTCAAAATTTTTATTTGTTAATACATGTTCAGATAAGATTTTATTAAAGTGCATCTTCCTCCCAAGTTGCCTTATCTGAACTAGTCTTGAAATGTATCCTCAAAGAGGCTCAAAAGTGTGTCTTCCTAAATAATCACATACCCTGTGTTTTTTTATTATTTGAGTTTAAAATTCTGGATTTCTCCATGGTTTTCTTCAGTAGTTATAAATAATCTTCATGTTTCTTGTTAAATTTGAGACTTCCCAAACTGAAACCATATTAAAGCTTTCTGCAGCACTTCTGTTGCACAAAGATCACCAGTCTAATTTATAGTGAAAAGCACAGTTGGAGTGGAGCCTATTTTACTTTATTATTGACTAAGTGGTTTTGGTGTGGTAGTATAGTAGATTCTGACAAGATCTGTCACATTGAATTTCCAAAATACTTGAGGGGACAATATATGAAAGGAGTGTTTCATTGCAAAATTAAACTCAGTTTAACAGCTTTTAAGGGCAAAATTTGTAAGATTAATTTAAGGTAAAACCTACAGGAACTCTAGGCCGCAATCTGTGTTTTTAACAGATATTGCCTGTTCTGTTTGTCGACTGAAGATTACTCAGCAAACTGCAGTGTGACTGTGCTAAACATGGCTTAATGTGCTTTTCTTCCCACAGCTGGTGGCTTTCCTGTGGCACTTGTTTATTGGCTGCATGTTTATGTGTTGCCTTTTACTGCATACTGTATCTTGAGTGGTACTGTGGAATTCAGGACTATGATGAACAGTACCCTGCACTGATTCCTATCACAACAGCTACCTTCATAGCAGCAGCAGTTTGGTGAGTTCAAACACTGTGTGCAAACTTCTGCTAAACCTGTGCTAGTCTGTGTGTTAATGGGCTCATTTTATAAGTATCATTTCTTATAAATTATAAGAAATTCTGTAATGAAATTCTATATGTAATTCTGCTTCGTGTATTGGTGACAATACCAGTTCTATGTAGCATAATTTCTTGCACTTTCAACTTTCATCCACAAAGCAAGAGTTGCAACAGTTGAAACTGTATATTGTGTACTTAGAGATGTACTGGATCTTTTCTGTCTTGAAAATTCAGGGGAAAACTGAAGTTATTTTTGTTAGTGTAAATTTCTCATCTCTGGCAACTACTTGTGCAGTTAACAAATTAAGACAAAGGTGCAGTCTCTCTCTCTGAGAAAAAATTCAGTTCAATCAGTTTCTGTCAGAGCTCTTCATTATCAAACAATATAAGTAGCAAACATACCCAAAATGCTAGACTTCTGACTATTGCCATATGAGCTTTAGGGGTTTATATTTTGTCTGAGAATGGTACTTTTAGTAAGAGTTGCTTTACTTATGAGATTGCATGAGAACTGAGCAAATGTGAATGAAGAAAATTACATTGTACCAGTTAATTTATTTGCTTTCTGCATGAAAATTGTTTTCCTCTTGTTTAGCTGTTGTATCAAGATATCAGTCAGTGTTTGTTGCAATGGTGAAAAAAAGGAAGATTGAGGAAAATAAAGATTCCCTATGGTTTATAATTAGTCAATTCTGTAATTCTTGTAAGTCAGTTGTAAAATTAGTTGGTTTTCCCCTTGTCTCTTCAGTTAACTGAAATCTGTCAAGATCAAAGTTCAGATTAAAGCTTCTCTCAGCTGCCATGTATGCCCATTGAAAAATCAAAGAGTAGGTAATTTTCAGGGGCTTCAGATACAGATTTTCTGAAAGTAAAAGGTATCTTTACCCTTTACCCTTGATGTGTTTTGTTTTCAGAAACAAAGTATATTTCCAGGTTAAGTAATTTAAATCTTATTTCTTCTTTTGACATGTTTCCTTTGTATGCCTGATGTTTCTGTAATGTGACAACTGAACTTACCAAATACTTTCTGCTTTTATTCCCAGTTTCAATGTTGCCTTGTGGCCTGTCTGGTCATTTTTGACACCTGTGTTGCTCTTCATTCAGTTCATGGGTATTGTGATGCTTGTGTCACTCCTGGGATAAGCCCTTCAGGTAAATAATTGAATTTTTTAAGCACATAAAAGTATTTATCCTGTTGTGGTAACTGCTTTGTTAGATATTTAAGGATTGGGAGGCCCTTTAGGGGTTCCTTCTCTATGTTTTGTGGACATTCTTCAAATTGTGACATTTTGTGGCATATAGAGTAAACAGAGAACATGCTCAAAAGGGGAAGAATATCCTTTCCACTTCTCTAAAACTCCATTCTAGACATTGAAAAGAAACATTAGTGAGAATGGATGGTTTTGGGATGTATAGACCAAAAACCTGCAGCTTTTACCTAGACTGGGGTAACTTCTTAGTAAAGCTGTTTCACCTGATAGTAAAGGGGAGAAGATACCAACATCCATGGACAAAGGCCTTCTCCCTTTTTTTAAATTAAAAAATCTTTGTCATGTCTTTGTCTTCAAGTGTGCTGTTTTCATTTTCTGTGATGCACAGCCCACATCAACCTGCTGTGTGGAAAATTGCCAGATAGGAGAAGTTATTTGTTCTTTCTAAAAAGGACTTTTCAAAGGCCAACCCATCTGTTTTGTTGACTTGAAAAATGCATTCTCAATAACTGCCACATCTTTTGTTAGGATATACTTATCAAATGAATGAATCCAGTGAAATGTAAAAAGCTAAGGAAGACACCAAATACAGATCAGTAAATAGGGTAAAGGATGTGTCCTATATCACAGGAGTCTCATGTCATCCAGGGCAGCTCCTCCTTCAGCAGGTCTTGTTTGTTGGACTTCTCAAGGGAATGAGGAGGAAGCCTGTTTGGCTTTGCTTGCCACTTTCTAGTGAGGTGATCCCTCAGCATTTTTAGGAGTGCAGCAAAAAGAAGACCGTGCTGGATTGCTGGATTTAGAGTGTAGCCTATTGTACTGACAAAGATGTAGGCAAAAAGTGTTTGATGTCTGGGATGGTGAAACTCAGATTTTTTTTTTAATAACAAGCTGAACCACTGTTGCATTTTCTCCTCTATTTTTGAGATATCAAGAAACCTGATTTTTAAGGAGATAGTTAACTTCTACTCTGACAAAACTCAGACTTCTGAAAAATACAATACTTAATTCAGAACCTCTTTACTGTGGCAAAATGTTGAGTCACACTTGCTGATACAAACATCTCCATGTTTGTTGGTTCTATCATTAGCCACGTTCTGTTTCTGCACTTGAAATATGTGGGGAAATTCTGTATTAGGTCAAATAATTATTTGCCTGATAATTAGGGACAAGTTATTACTTGGTGTTCCAAAATCATTAATTCATTTTTGATAGAGCTTGTGCAGTATATAGAACATTCAAAGATTTTTCTTAAATTTGTTTTTTTTTCTTTTCTTTCAGCTTCATGTGAAGGACTCAAGGAACTGTAATCCTGCAAAGTGTATGTCACTTTTGTTACATCTCAGTACTTCTGTTGTTTCTAATACTGCCTGTTTGCTCTAATACAGTAATTCTTAATCTACTTGATTTATAAATCAATGGACATAACCATAGGAAAAAGCAACTGATTTGTCAATAATTGGAAGATAAATATATTGTACATCTCTTAGTAACATGAAACCTTTCATTTTGTAAAGCTTTGTAAAGCTTCTATTTATATTTGAGTATTAAGCACATGGGTAGTAAGTAATAGCACCATAGAATAGTTAGTGTTGAAAGGGACCTTTAAATATTATCTCTGGGGGCCTAGAGGTTACCTACTCAAACTTCCTGCTCAAATCATGTTGTTTGATTTGGAAGTAAGTGATACTTAAATCAAGTGTTGTGGGGTTTTAATACTATATTCTTTCCATTTGAATTGACAGGTAAAATACTGTTATCTGGAACCTGTGTTTGTACTTGTAAACCTACTTACAGGAGACATTTCTTGATCTCTGAAATTTCTGCTGTTATATTTGTTACCATATAGGAAATACTTTATTATCTAATGTCTTGAATTCAAATCTGCTAGTGTTTAAAAAAAAGTATGGATGAGGGAAAGGGAAAGCTGGTTGACATTTGGCAGTGTCATCAATTAATTAAATAAATAAATAAATTCTACTATATGCTCATACAGTTTGTCTACAGCCAAAGGTGGATGATCAAGCTGTGAATAACCAGCAATACAATGAACAATATTAACACTATACAAGAAATTTGGAGCACCATTAAATTCTTTTGATGTATGCACTGTTTTCCAGTATTCAGGTTGTTTTTTCTTCTGTAAATCAAATTTTCATTCTTATCAGTGCCTGTTAATGAAGTTGCCATTTTCCTTACTCAGCAATGAAGAGGCTGATATTAACTTAAAAGCTACTAGTTATACTCAGTTGGGAAAATAAAATAGCATGTTATTTTTATTAACTGTCTGTTCATGTTGGCTGAGATACTTAACTGTCTGAAGACCTGGGCACCATCTGGTTGCTAGACCACTTTATGTGTGTCCTTGTGTAAATACTTTTCCATGCAGGCCTTTTGGAAAATAGGAGAATGTAGAAATTGGGTATTGAAACCTGTTAAAATCAACACTTGTGAGTGTTGCTTAAAGTCTGGACTGCCAAAGGATACTGTATTCTTCACTCTGACTTCCAAATTCACACCATTGCTGAACACATGGAATGTTTAGTGATGTCAGAGATACACATTGTCTTTGGTTGTTACTGTTCCATTAATGAAAAAAGTTGGGACCTAGTAGTATGTAATACAAAGAATCAGACAAACCAAAATAAAGTGCATTTAGCACCACTTGAAGTAGTTTGTAGGGTAAGTTAACAGCTTGATTTGTTTAAATGTAATATTTAAATTTGCCAAAACCAGTCATGCTTCACATCTTTAAAGTGCAAGTTGCTTATCTTCAGGTCTTCAGTTTTTAAAAGGTTTTACCAATTTTGTCTGGATACACAGGTACATTTGAGTAACTTTCTTTATTACAACATTTAAAATGCAGTATTGCTCAGGGATGGTTATTATAGCTGTATTTTTATTTGTCAGGTATATAATTGCTCTAGGTGTTTTAAGTTGCCTTGTAATCTGAATTAAAATTACTATTTGCTACAAGATTTTTAAAATTCATTCTTCTAAACATCTTAATAAACTTTGTACAAAAGTGATCAATAGTTGTTCAATATGTAATTGTTTAACCATCTAATTACACTTTCTTGGAGACTTCCACCCCATCTCATTGCTTTTTCTATAAAATAGATGTTCATGTAGATTTTAAATACTATACTTGGCTCAGAGTACCTTTGTCTTTCATGCCCCTTTATCTGGGTTTATTGAAGGTGTAATAACACTCTGTTCACCTCTGGAGAGCTGTTTGCCTTCAGACTACTTTGATGTCTTTCTGAGAATCCCAGGTAGAAATGCTCATTGTACAGAGTCTTTCAGTAACAGATCTGAGTATCCAACACAATACTCATTCACTTACATGCTCAAAAGGAAGTAGGGGCAAATCTGGTAAGAAGGTAAAACAATGCTTGTTTTAATTGTTGCAACCTGACACAATGCTGCTGCCACTTCTGTGAACTCCTTGCTTTTGTTACTTTCCTTACCACCAAATAAAGAATTTAGGGCAAGGGAGTAGAAAGAGGTAGCAGTTGAAATCCCCACCTCTATTAAAGCTTGAATGTATTCTCTTGGTACAGGCCACCATAGGTATCTTCTGTATCCATTTACATTATTTCATTTCAGGATGAGAATGTGTACCAGCACCAAAGAGCTTTCGCTTACAGGTGACAAGGGATGCTCTTGGATAATTTGAAGTAAAATAGTCCATGCAGTGAAGATTATTTATCACAGTAACCCATAGAAGCTCTCTAAAATGGAAACATCTTCCTCAGTTATTCTTTAAAGGTTACATTGTATGAGATAGAAGTAGGATTTGGCAATCCCACAATGCCATTTCTGATAACAATGGATGTAGCTGTGAGCTAGAGGTGGTTGAAGCCTGACTGTTTGACTAGTTATGCTTTTGATTTAACAGGCCAGACAGAAACAAAGGGCTCTCTTCCTGTTAAGTGCATTCTTCAATGAGAAAATGTACACATGGTCTAAAATACCTGTTTCTTGAGAACAGGGCAAAATGAGTAAAGGACAGGAACTACCTCTTTATGGTGACCTAAACAGGTGAATGTCCAGAATCCAGTCATTTCATCTTTCTGCCATTTTGTTTTCCTTCCCTGTTCTTTAAGAGGCTTGTGAATCCCAGACACTTATATGTAAGTTCAAAAGTGTCCTTTTTTATATGAGAAAAAAACCCTTTATTAATTTCTGGCTTCAGAAGAGAAAAGAGCTTAAAAGGACTCCTTTGCCAGAGGAAGTGGAATAAAATAGATGCTGTATTTTCAAGATATCATTTTTTTTTTTTTTTTTGTAGTTGAACTAGTGGCTTAATTTCATGCAAGGTGTGGGTCAGTCACTGTAAAAACCAATGTTTTGGGTAATCAATATGCAATCAACAGGTACAAAGCAAAAATGCAAACTGTAAGATGCACTTGGCCAGGACAAGGACCAGTCTATCTTGATGTTTGGCCTCCAAGCTACGTTCAGCATCCAAATACCTAAAGTTAAGAGAATTCAGTTTAAGTAGAAAAGGGTCAATACTGAAAGTGTGTATAAATATTGGGAAAATGAATATATAAGAAGGGGACTAAATTCTGCAGAAGGTTTTGCTACTTTGAGCTCAGTAGTTGCTTCTCCAGCTAGCAATTCCTATAGTTCTGTGTTGTCAGAATGGGACTTTCTAAAAAACCCAAGGTGAATTACCGCTTTTGAAAGGTCTAGAAAATTCCTGAAAAACGAGGTTCTGTCCTACCAGTGAAAGTACCGATTGCTCAGCAGAAGATGCCTGTGGAGCCCAGAGTGTGAAGCACGTGTTCATCCCTCTGCCTGCCGTGCGAAGGAGCTCCATCAGCAGCTGCTGGCTCCCGGGCTGCAGGGCAGGCTCCAGCCTCACCAGCTCCCAGGTTCTGGCCTTTCTTCGGCCTTCCAGCCGTCGGGCCGGGGGTTTGTTCAACACACGGTGTCTTTAGCATTTTCCTGCCCAGGGAATGTGTTACACCGCGCGGGTCTCCCAACACGGACCATGTCACCAAAGGCAGCCGGGCAGAGCTGGCTCCGAACTAACTTTCGTCCGAACCCCAGCTGTTGTCAGTCTCAGGGAAGAACGTCCCGCAAAAACCTCAGCAGCCTTTCCCGGCTGCCAGGGACCCCCGCCCGCGGGCAGGGCACGGCCAGGGCCGGCCGTCCCGCTCCGCCCCCGCCGCGATGGGGGACGGGCCAGCAGCGCCCTCCGGGCTCCCCGGGGACAGCGGGGCCGCCTGCTTGGAGCACCTGGCCGGCGGCGTGGGAGATGGAGGAAGCCGCCGGGTGCCCCGCGGTGGGCGGCAGCTACCCGCAGAAAAACGCCGAGATCCTCAGCAGCCAGTACGGCATCAACCTCTTCCTGGCCGGGCTGCTGCTCACCTTCGCCTGGGCTGTGCATGCCGTGGGCATCAGCAAGAGCCACCTGCTCTCCTACCTCATCACGCTGATGCTCATCCAGCTGCTGTGGATGCTGTGGTACCTCTGCAGGAGCTGCACGCAGAGGAGGCTGATCCGGGACAAGGATACACACGCCGGAGCCCGCTGGCTGAAGTGTAAGTACGGGGGGATGGCACAGAGTGGTACCTACCGCACAAGGGACATCTGTGCCATCACCTGTGTCTGCTGCCTCTTTGTTACCTCTCCATCCCTACCGGGAGGCATCCTGGTCTTTGCAAACTGAATGAACATGCAGTGCACTCTAAAGTAAATATATGCATAAGCTGAACATACTAGAAGATTGTATTGGGAATCTGTTTGTTAAACATTCTCACTTTCCAACTACCATTTATAGTGCTGAAAGCTCCAGCACCTTTCTTCCTTACCAGGCTGGTTTGGTGAAACTTGAAAAATGAAATATAGCTAGTGGAAGAGGCAGGTTTTTTGCTGTCTTGCAGCTGTTTTAGAGGAATTATCACCTTTTCCAGATGGTATAATGCAATTTACTTTATGGTAGTACAAGTCAGAAAGGTCCTGAAGCTCTGTCTATACCAATGTGTATCAGAGATTCCTGTTTATATGTGTACAGTGATGCTTCTGAAACATCTAGCATTAGACTGTAGAGGACAAAATCCCTGACCAGATCAGTTTGTCATCAGTACATAAAGCAGTTAAACAAGGAATCTAAACTGAGCATTTGCTTGCAGAAAAAGTATACAAGTTTGCAAGAGTAGTGGTGGGGTGTGCTGGCCCTTATCTGCAGTCAGCTGTGTACCAGTGAGGATACAAAGGTATATTGAGAAAAGGTGTTTGGGCAGCACATCACAGAATTGCAGTGACAGGAATTTGTGTTTTCTGGTACCAAAGAAAAGAAACAGCCCACATCAGTGCTTGTGCAATAATAGGCAATCCCAGTTCTACCAGCCTCTTCCAGTCTCAGCACTGTGAGTGATGGATTGGAAAGTATTTAAGTGGAATGTTATGATAGATTTCCCCTAAAGTGTTTTCTACCTACTAACAATGAGACAACAGCTAATTTTCACAGCAGCTAATTAAACATCTAAATGAAAATTCCAAGAACACCTAACACCTGATTATTTTGAAAAGTAAGGCTGTGCTGTGGAAATGTAGTTCTCAATCTCAGTAGTTATGTATAATTTATTTTCTTCGCAACTGTTAACATTTGTGTTTGAATTGCTGACAGAAAACTTATTTTCTTTTAATGTCTAATGTACAGCCATGGTCTGTAGACTCTTTCCTGAAATGTATGGAGTTCACGTACCAACTGTTGAATTGTTCCTCTTGATTATTTACTATTTTTCAAGGCAATGTTAATCTCTCAAGCATTTTTCATTTATTAGCTTATGTGGCTTACAACCTCCTGAAATTCATGCAAGGCTTAATAAGATCCTACCTTGGGCCAAGCTAAGCTTTTGTTACTCAGAGTGTAGTTTTCCCCTCCTAAATATGGAATAAATACTGCCTAGCATGGGTAAGTACAGCAGGATCCCCCACCCTCTTTTTTTTGGCGCCGCATTCACAGCATTTCATTTGTCCTACAGAATATAAGGAGTCACAGAAACTTAGAAATAAGATCCTAGATTGAACTACTGAGTTACCATATCCATTTCTTTTACCAGCACAGGATGGCTCTTTGTCCTGACTTCTCAAGTGCTGCGGGTTCCATGGCTTCTCTTAGGCTGCAATTCAACAAATTTGCCCTTAGGGAATGACCTACACTTTCCTATTCTTGGGAGTTTCTTGTAGTTACAACAAGGCTGTACAACTCCTTTATCCTCTATTAGCAAAAGAAAACTTATTTGAGCTAAGGAAAAACTCAGGTGGCAATTCCTCTGCCAAGATCCCCTATGCCCTCCTCTTTATCATGCTTTTGCCATAGAAGTCTTTTACCTGAAAGATCAAAAGTCCAAAAAGGAAAGGGGAGGATGGAGTGGGACAGACATATTTTGTTTGGGTTTTTCCACTGAAAGCTTTCTGCAATTTTTTTTACTATCTCTATCAGCTACTTTTGAAGAACCTCTCTTTGCTGTAATTGTGAGAGCAAATGTCCTTGTATTAAACAGTAGAAAATGAATGTATTTTCATGAATCCTTTCAAACTGTGAATATCATTTTAGTAAAAGTGGTGGCAGTTGCCTGTTTAGACCATTTTGCTCTGACAAATGTTGAAATGGAATGATTTAACAAAAACCTCCTATAACTGACTCCTTGTACATGTTTAGCAACACTAGAAGGACAGATGACCAGTTTGCAAGAGCTGCTCACAGGAAGGTTTCCTTGAGTCTTTCTGCACCAAGGTGTCAATGTGTGAACCCTTGAGCTTCGTTGTCTTCCCACCTGTGTGGTTGACCAAGAACCACTCCTGACCATTTTTTTGGGAAAGTTCAGAGAAGTGAGCTAGAGAACTCAAAATAAAAATGAGTTGGCTTCACAAACAGCTTTATTTTATCACATTCTTTAGCAGCACAGTTTCTGTTTAAAGCATTGACAACTGGTCAACTTAAAAGCTCTTGACAGACTTCAACTTGTATCTTTTTACTGCCTTCATTGAATTGCCAATTATTTGAATG